ACCAGGAATGCATCAAGAGGTGGCTTCTCTCCAAAATTGGCTCAGGTAATCACAGGCTTCTCATATGGGTGCAGCTTTTATGAATAAAGTGTCTCATAATTACTACTTCTTTCTGTCTTTTCTTTTGTTTTTTCCTTCCTGCTCAGGTGCAAACCTCGAAGGCATCACAACGTGTGAACTCTGTAAGGAGAAGCTGCGTTTGAACATCGATAACTTTGACATTCAGGAGCTGTACAGGACGCATGTGCAAGTGAGTTATTTCACCTCGCTTGGAGGAAAAAAAATCACAATTTCCAAACCCAAAAGCTCTAATTAAAATGAATAAAGAAGCAGTTTTCATTTACTGTGACTGTTTTAATTAATTATGCAAATGTATTAATAACATAATCAAGGGGTTCTCTGCCCTTTTTAATTTGAGTGGATTTAAAACATGTCATTGTACCGAGTTTAAAAAAAAAAACAAAACCCACAAAGCACAATGAGTGCTGGTGTAATTGAAGTGATTCCTCTGTTATGTTTGCTGCAGTTGGATCTGAACAAAGTTGAACTATGTTGGATTAAACACAGACAAGCAGCATTGAAGCTGCTCTTGGGTTTACCTATTTCAGTATGCTGGGAAAACGCCCTTTCAAGTGTTTTTCATGCTCTGCAGTCTGAATATGACGAGTTCATCAGTAGCGGTCTCTACCTAGTGGTCCTGCTACATTTCTGTGAGCAAAGGTTCTCAGATGTCCTCGGAGCGGTCGATACAGCTGGGGTGAGAAACCGAACAAATTCACCTGTGGTGTTTATTAACTTGAACGCTGAAAGACTCATTTATTGTCCAATTATGTTAGAGCACAGCTATAAGAAAATGCTTATGAACCTGTGAGGATTTCTGCTGTGATTTTAATCAAAGAAAACATGCTGCTGTCATCTGAGTCAGTCACAGACAAACACAAATTCATCCAGACTAATCTCACACAATGATTTTTAAAGCATCTGGTCCCTGATTCACAGAAGCAGTCCCAAAACAAGACTCTGCCTTCACTGTGCTTCAGTTAGGATGAGCATTTGTTGTGATGGGCCAAACATAGTGATGCCGAGTTTAACATTTATTTCATCTGTGCGTATAACGGCTTTGGCTAGACTATGGGAGAAGCTAATTAGATGTTACTATGAACTTAAAAAAAAGAAGACACATAAATGTGTCTTAAGTCTTTTCCACATTTTGATAATGAATGTAATCTTTGGTGTGATCTTTTACATGATACCCACTCCTCAGTTATCTTTTGATGGCCATCCAGATAACCAATGAAAGTTCACAGGGTTCACAAATGTTTTCTTGAATTTGAGCAGCACATTGAGTTTGCCCATTCGCTGTGCGCAGTTGAGCAAAAACACTTGCACAATTTCAAAAATGTTGAAGCGATGAATTGTGGCTGACTTGGAATCTTGAAAAGAGACACATCTTCCCTTTCTCACCTAGTTATTCAACCTGGTGAGAATTCTTCATGAACACATGGACAATCTTGAAAGTATGTTGCTCTTCCCTTTTGTCGCAAACAAGCTTGTGTCTGATTGTTTTTGTCTAAAGCTACCAGCTTTGTGTTGACAAATGCATGAGGGATCTTTTGTGGCTACATAATTTGACTTGATGTCTGTGGATTGCAGTTCCCCATGGAGAAAGTGACGAGGAGGTGCGAGACAACAGACCGTCCATCGAGTTTTCGGACCTGGATGACGATCTCGAAGAGGAGTACTAAATATGTGGGAAAGAATAAAAGTAGGTCAGACGATCTGCAGTTACAGGGCTTCTCATTCCAGGGGGCTCACCAGGTTTCACACAGGCTTTGACATCTGAAATGCAACAGCGGCTACAGATACCAAGTGCACAGAACATGTCTCGACTTTTCTGCAGATATGCAAACTTGGAATGAATTAGTACACAAAATATTTAGGTTAATACCACTATATTTGTTTCTCTGAGAGTGCACTTTAATTCAGTTATAATTCAATTAAAATGGAAGTTTTTTTTCTTTTCTCTTTTTTCAAATTGTTATACCACAAGTGCTTTAATGTTGAGATGAAAGAGCAGCAATAGAATGGGACTGTGGTAACAAGTGATATGTACTTGGTGTGATGGCGAGTGTGAGGTTTTGGGGGAAAAAAATAACAATAATAATAATAAAAAATATTCTTTTGTGTTTTTCTCTGATTATTTTTGTTTCCCAGTTAGGAATATGTTAAAAATAGAGAAGAGGGGGGCGTACAAAGCAAGGACAGTTTGTCAATGGTGTATCATAATTTCTTTGTGTATGTACACATCTCGTTTAATGCTTCTAATTTTGGGAATAAAGAATAATTGCACACTGCCTTACTTTCAGTCCCCTTTACTATCAAGCATGAGGAACTTTTTTTTCTTTTTTTTTTTTTTTTTGGTAGCTGTGTTGCAGGTGAAGTGCAGGGACGTTGGATCCTGGCAGACTTCTAGATGAGGGTCACTTACAGCAAAGCTTCTCACTGTTATCACAGCTAGTGGTAAATTGCAGCATACAACTGCACACACTGATCGTATGGGATCACCCTTAAATGAGTGTTTTCATATCTGCCATGTTTGGGGAATTTAGTGACAAATGGCAGCATGCTTTGACTTTCCAAGTGTTTTATTTTAAAAAGATCTTTTGGCCATAATTTAACTACATGTTTAAAGCTCACTGTGACATGAGGTTCTGGCCCAACCGTTTACTTTTCTGCCTGTTTCTCATCACTATAAATTAAGAACAAAAGAGAAGCCTGACCCTTAAAAAAAAAA